GCCCGATGCGGGACTCGATCCCGGGACTCCAGGGTCATGACCCGAGCCGAAGGCAGTCGCTTAACCAACTGAGCCACCCAGGCGCCCTACTTCATTCCTTTTTATGGCTGAGTAGTATTCATTGTAGGGATCTATTTTATTTAGCCATTCATTAGCTGGTGGACATTTGGGGGTTGTTTCATTTTGGGAGTCTGGGAGCCTTTTGGGTACCTGGGAACGCAAATGATCTCAAAACTTGAACTTGACCGGAGAAAGGTTTCCTCTGCCCCAGAGTCAGCTCTTTGCTGACGACTGCACACACTTACGTCAAGGTCATATTCTAAAGGGCAAGGGCTATGGTTTGTCTTTGTACCCTGAGCACCTACACAACCCCTGGAAAAGTGAGAGACCAACAGATGACAGCTGACACTTTCTGAGCTAATAATTTCCTCCAGTTTACAGATAAGGAAACTGAGGCACTGAGCAGTAACACGATCAGCCCAAGACCACACAGCTAGAGACTGAGCAATGTGACTTAGGGGTCCCACTCTTAACCATAATACTGTTCCCGAAAAGGAGAAGAGAGAGGGAGAGAAGTAAAGAGGAATGGGACCCATTTTCAGAAATCACAGTGATCTTTACCTGACACACAACAAGCTCCCTGGGAACCTTAGCCAAGGCTCTGGTCAGGGTGGCCAGAAGAACTGTATATAAAGAAGGCTAAGGAGAGGCTCAAGAGTCAAGCCTGCTCACCAGTGCCTCGCAGTGGAGGCAGACAAATGGCCCCTGGAAGCTGGAAGGACAAGCCACAAAATCAGTCTTTTCTGGGCCACTTAACCTCCCGGGGGTACAACGCAGGGGCACAGAGCCTTCTACCAAGTGCCATCTGTGTCAGGTACCAGCTACAGGCCTTGCAGGTTAGACCCCTGCTTTCCAGTCAAAAGTAGAAAATCTAAGCTGGGGCCCGAAGCAGGGGGTCTCTGTCTCCCCCTGTGGCATGTGAGCGCTGAAGAGCCGTGTGTTGGCTGGGCCCCATCTGTCACCTGGGAGATTACAGGCAAAACTCTGCATTTCCTGCTTCTCCTGGAGACCAGAGGCTCAGGCAAACCAGGCCCTGGGATTCTGCACGGTCCAGACCCCAACTTGCTCCCACTATTCTCGCCTTGACACTGAAGCCAAGTGTCACTTGTCATCTTATATGGGCCTCCTTCCACTCACTTGCATCACCTGTTCCAGAAGCATGACAAACATAAGCCGAGGGGACTGTCCCAGGCCCCCTCTGCCACAATTTGTGGGATCCTTGGGCAGTTTGTCCCTCTCGACAAATTCATTTTCCTGGTTGGAAACCAGGAACAACCATTAACTGGTTGTAAATGGGGTTATCAGCTCTCTGGTAAGGTTTCTATGAAAACCAAATGAAAAGATTAAAACAAGAACTTGCTTTGAAAACAAGTCATTGGGGGCACCTGGGGGGCTCAATTGGTTAAGCATCTGCCTTCGGCTCAGGTCATGATCTCAGGGTCCTGGGATCGAGCCCGGCGTTGGGCTCCCTGCTCAGTGGGAGAGTCTCCTTCTCCTCTCCCTCTGTACTCTCGTGCTCGCTCTCTCTCTCAAATAAATATCTGAAAAAGAAAAAGAAAGAAGAAAGAAAGAAAAAGAAAGAAAAAAAGGAAGGAAGGAAGGAAGGAAGGAAAGAAAAAGAAAGAGGGAGGGAAGGAAGGCAGGCAGGCAGGCAGGCAGAAACAAGTCATTGAACTAATAACGCCCCTATAATGGGCCTCCTGAACCTTCCTGGAATTGGCTTTTACTGTCTCTAAGAGTGGAAAAACTAGAAATAATCTATGTCCAGTAGGAAAGTGGTTAAGAAGCCATGACATGCTCTATAGCCTCTAAAAATGAAAGTTGTAGATCCTGGTGGTACATACCCAGATGGAAGGGTGCCCGTGACATAGTAACTGAAAAAAATGCATGAAGAACATTCTGTACATTATGGCATGATCTCATTTTTATTAACAGAAATTATATATGTACATATTTTTTGTATATAGAGAGAAAAATTCTGGAAGCATACTTACCCCATCTGTTTAACAGTTATCAATG